ACCTCATTTGCATGCAAAAGCTGGACAGTGAATAAGGAAGACTGTAGAAGAATTCATGCTTTTGAGTTCTGGTGTTGGAGAAGAATATTGAAAGTGCCATGGGTTGCCAAAAGAACCAACAGATCTGTGTTGGAAGAAGTGCAGCCAGAGTGCTCCTTGGAGGCCAAGATGGCCAAAATTCGACTCTCATACTTTGGACATATTGTCAGGCGGGACCAGTCGCTGGAGAAGGATACCATGTTTGATAAGGTGGAGGGTCACAGAAAAAGAGGAAGACCCCCAACGAGATGGATTGACCAAGTGGCAGCATCAATGGACTCAAGCATGGCAACAGTTGTGAGGTTGGTTGGTCCAAGATCGGGCAGTGTTTCGTTCTGCTGTGGATAAGATCGCTATGGGTCGGAACTAACTCGATGGCACCTAACAACAACAGCTGTTCCCATACCACCCTGACTGTGCCCGATTTCTCTAACTTAGAAGCTAAGGAGGGTTAAGCCTGGTTAGTACGTGGATGGGAGACTGCCTGAGAATACCAGGTGCCGTACACTTTGGAGTGCAGGTGTACTGGACTACTAACCAACCATAAGATTAGTGGTTCAAACTCACCAGCAACTCTTTACAAACCCTAATAGGGTCTCTATGAATTAGAACTGACTCCAAGGCACTTAACAACAGCAACTGTTCCCAGCAGTTGGCTCTGTCACAGCTGTGAAAAAAGGGGTTTCTCTCCATCCTGCATTCATGGGGCTGGGGTCACTGTGCAGTACCAGACCAAGCTGAGCAGAACTCCTTGGCCCATCCTGGCAGTAATTATGAATTCTCCCCATCATTACACGTATCTCTGATTTCTCTTTCCGGCATAATTAAGAAATGTAAAACCATTTCTTCTAGTTCAGAAGTAATAAACTCAAGCCAGTCCCAGAATGGTAAACTAGCTTTGATTTGATCAGTAAGGCAAAATGGGACATTCTTCCATAACCTGTTAAACCCTTTAAAAAAAAAAAAAAAATCATAGGCTGAATGCTATTTATCTGAGAAAGGCATCCTGGTGGTGCAACAGTTAAGTGCTCAGCTGCTAACTGAAAGGTTGGTACTTTGAATCCACCCGGTGGCTCCACGGGAGAAAGCCCTGGCAGTCTCCTTCTGTGAAAATACAATCTAGAAAACCTTCCGCGGAACTAACGTTTTGTCACGTGGAGTCTCAACTCAGCAAGACTCAGCAACAACATTTATCTGGGAAAGAACTAGTTGGATCATTGCAGAAAACATGCGCTTGATTGTTCAGATAATGTAAAGTACACCCTTCGAGTAATCAATGGTATTGTAAAGTACTGGCTTGTCCGTCCGTCCCTCTCCCATTGATCCAGTTGCTAGTTTTTCCAAGCAGCATTTACTATGTTGAAACAGCTTCACTTTGTTTAAGGGAATGATAGTCTTGCATGCTGTGACACAGTCCAGGTTGTATGCATACATCTTCTACAACTCGCACACTGCCCCGCCCAATGCCCCCATCTCATAAGTAACTTAAATGATACTCTTACTTTAAGACTTGTTTTCCATGTAAATTGTGCATTTGAATAACAAATCTGAGCTGCTATTACCTGTTGATTTTTTTTTTTTTCTGCTCATGAATGTTAGGATTTCACTAACATGCTAATGTTCTGTTTATATCAAGACCGGAGTTTGTTTCAAAATTCACAATGCTGAAGGACCAGTGGCAAAATGCTGCCCAGAGGGTTCAGCAGAAGAAGGGTGATATCAACGGGCTGGTGAGGCAGTGGCAATACTTCAATGCCTCCGTGGAGGATCTGCTCCGCTTCCTCACAGACACCAGCCACTTGCTGTCTGCAGTGAGGAGCCAGGATTGCTATAGTCTCTACCAAACCAGAAGTCTGATCCCTGAGCTCAAGGTAGGTTCTGTGAACACCTCAGGATTACAGGACGCTCAATCTGTGCGTAAGATGCTTACTCACCTCAGCAGAGGTCAGAGAAGAGAAAAGGTGTTAGGATGTTGGCTTTGAAGATGGAGGAAGGGGCCATAAGCCAAGGAATTTTGGGTGACTTCTAGAAGCTGGAAAAGACAAGGAAGCAGATGCCCCCCTGTATCTTCCAGGAGGAACACAAGCCTGCAGATACCTTGATTTAGGCCTGTGAAGTTGACCTCCACAATCGGAAGAAAATAAATGTGTGTTGTTTTAAGCCGCTAAATGTATGGTTACTTGTTTCAGCAGCAGTAGGAATTGAATATAGGCTGTATGGTTATTTTAGATTAAATAGATTCAGTGTTACCTTTCCAAGCTGAGACCTGAATGATGGAAAGGACCCAGCCCTGGAATGAGAACTATTAAAATGAGCAGAAGCAGCTTGCCAAAGTCTCCAATGTGGGAATCAGCTTAACAAAGAGGAGGAACAAAAACAAGACCAGAGTGGCTGGCTATGTGAGGAACATAGAGCCAGGAAATGTCTCTTTGTACAAATGTCGTTTTATAGGCTGTGGTGCAGTTCCCGGGCGAGAGTCTTGATGGAATAGGAGGCCTTTGAAGATTTTCAGTTGGGGAAAGGTCACCATAATGTGATTTGTATTTTTTTCAACGATCACTCCAGTTGCTCTAAAGACCATGAAATGTTATGGAGCTAAAGGAAGAGCAGGAACGCCAGTACTCACCTATTGCTACCTGACAGCAATCATTCTATCATTATCTCTCAAGTCTGGGGAATATTGTTGGTGTTAAGTGCCACCGAGACAGTTACAACTCATAGCAGCCCTGTTAGAGGGTTTCTGAGGAGCGCTTGGTGAGTTTGAACTGCCGGCTGATATTGCGGTTCAAACTTGTGATTGAGTGCTTATACAGCAGTGTCACACTACGGCTCCCGTGTCCAGCACCTCAGCTGGGAAGACTCAGACAACTAGGAGCTGGAGCAGCTGGTGCTCCCTGAGCATCATTCTTTATAGTCTCTCCACACAAGTCTTTTAGGTAGCTAGAGTTCTTACATGGCGGCTCAAGCTTTCATTGGCACATGTCTCAAGAAAGAGATGCATGCAGGTCTATTGCCATTTGATTTTGCCTTATAAGCAATATAAATTGTACTTTATTAATCAAGGCAGTTATGTGCATTCACTCAAGTTGAAGAGGTGTGGACAGTAGCCCCACCGCTTGATGGGGAGTGCCAAAGATCTGGAAGAACATATGGGACTAGGAAGATGGTTGCAGCCATCTGTGGAAACATACAGGCTTCCCTAACCCATTAGGATTAGCTCAGTAGTCTTTGAGAGTGATCACAGTGAAGATGGAAAGAAGGATGTTTTTGTACTTAGAGTTTACAAGGATGACTTATGGTTTGGCTGTGGTGGGTGAAAGAAAAGGCTAAATCAAGAATGACTCTAACTTTCTGGCTTGAGCATGTTGGTGTGGATTGATGTGCCATTGACTAAGTCAAGAAAGACAGTTAAGTTTCAGAGGTCACGGCGGTTAGAGCGCTTGACTCCTAACCAGAAGGCCAGTAGTTTGAACCCAGTAGATGTTCTGTGGGAACAAGCAGTCTGCTACCATAAAAATGTACAGCCTTGGAAACCTGGTAGGGTAGTTCTACTCTGTTCTGTAGGGTGGCTATGAGTCAGATTCCACTGGGGGGCAGTTGGTTTGGTTTAGGGTTTATTAGAACATCCTCTAAGTGGATATGTTGGACAGTACTATAAGAAGGACAAGTATGGAGTATTGTGTGCTCCTCCTGAAGATGCTCTGTTTTCCTTCTTTGGATTGAATTAGCTCAAGACTCCTTAGATCTATTGTGGGTTTTGTTGGTTTTTTAAAAATGTTTTATTGTGAATTATATGATAGTTTACATTGGAGAACATTAGCTTTACATTCATCCTATCGTATATCATTTCATTTGCCATGATTACAATCCCCTCGATGCATCATCAAACTGTTGCGGACCGTGTAAGACTAGTCAGAGGTTCGAGGCCCTATAGGGCCGAGTGTAACAAATGAGGCCGCTGGCAGTTAATGACAAATTACTTTCATCTTAATATTCAGTTATGTATATTAAATTAATACACGGAGCCTTTGACAATCCACAGATAAATGTGATATTTTTCCTAAAGCAGAGACTAAAGGTTGCAAGGTTAAGCCTTTCTCCAAAGGATTAACTAAAAATATCTTAGCTACTTCTCCATTCTTTGTTCTATAGACAAAGAACCCATCCACCCTAATCATTTTCCAGGTGCAGCCCATTCACCTGGGAGTCTCATCTCCAGTCCTCCTGAAAACCTGGCTCAGGAAGCTGAAGCAGCAGGACTCCGCCCAAGCTTTTGTCCTTATCTCTCACCTTCCCCCACCTAAGCTCAGGGGCTATAGATATGTTAATTGGGCCTGAGACTCCAAGTTGTTGGCCTGGGATTCCAACCAGCAAAGCACAATGTAAAGTTACCTGAAGGTCTGGAAAAGTACTGATATTAGCTGTACCTTGCCTAAGTCCCTCCCAGCTTGGTGTGAAGCTCCTCCCCTAAATAAAACAGAGGCCAGGGCCTCCCCAGGTGTGCATTACTGGTTGGAAGGCATGGAGTAAAGAT